TTTTGAAGAAGTTGTACAATTGCAAATAAACAGGGCTTATTGCAGTCACATAGAAATTCATGGTAAAAATGCTTTGTGTAGCACTATTTCTCTAATGCATCCTCTTGCACTGAGACATAATAAGATACTAAGGGCCTTGTATAAAGAGAGACATGCAATGAAATAAAATAAGATATAGTTTGGGCTCAGAGAGAGAAAACTCTACCAGTGATAATGTCAGTAGGAGCTCCTGAACCAGAGCAACACACCTTTGAAAGTGATTGTGGACATTTTTGGGTTTTCTTCTTTAGAGAGGTGTTTTGGGTTAAGTATGATGGCAAGTGTAAATATCCCTTTCTAACTGCCTGAATTCAGATGCATGCAGACCTTGTGAAAAAAGATCCATTGTACTCTTAAAAAAAAAAAAGAAGTCACATTTAGTTCTGACGTACAAACTGTTCAATAATTCTGTTTATTTGCAAGCAATACAAAGAAATATACTTAATGTGAATTATGTATGACAAACAAAAGGGAAAAAGCCCAAAACATTACTGATATAATGCAACAAATACAGCAAAAATGTAACAACATGGCAAATTTTAAAAGACAGTTAAGTCAGCCATTCTTAGACAAAATCAACATGTTTTTTTAGATATGAATATCTTAGCTTTTTTTATTCTATTAATGTAACCAAAATGGAATTTTTACCAAAGAAAAAAGGTTAAAGAGCACAAGCACTAAGTATGATCTCTAACCTAGCTGACCTAATAAGCTTCCATTCTAGATTTATATTTTCAAAATGAGGATGCAAAGACATGTGGGCAGTTTGTCACTTACAAGAGTCTATTTAAGTCAGTAGAACGAGTCCCATTAATAATTCTATTCATAATATGTGAGTTTTAGTGCTTCAGTAAGGAACTGTATGAGAAATGTAAATGAAAGTGAGGAGAATTAATGAACTTATGCCTACTGTAATTTGTTCATATGTTCAAGAAATATCAACAACAAGCTAAAACACATCTATAAAACAAAACTAAAACCAAAGAAACACAAATAAAAACAGAATGCCCCGTAGTGGAATACCAACTTGTCTACAAAACAATCATCAGTGATTTAAAGTGACTGTGTGCCACTGTGGAATAAGCAAGCTGACTTGAAGAGAAATGTTGTGTACAATCTTATAATAAATATTTCATCAATCCCTTTCTACGACACTGAGCCTATTCAGAGCATTTGCTAAATTTTCATCAACGTTTACAAAAAAAAACTCTCAATGAGAAAAAGAAAAAACCAGATGAATGAGATACAAGAGCAACTACTGCTAAAAAATGACCATGGTATATCTGTATGGCTAGTTTCCAAGTATTTCAGAGACTTAGGGTCTGGGGTGAGTTAACTGATTCAGGTTTAACATTTTTCAAAATTAAAGTGAACCTGTCAGATGGACAGCTCCCGGTAAACAGTCAGAAACTGAAATCCTGAATTCTGAAGTAGCAACATACAAATGACTACAATATGGCCATGTTCAGTCTCCTGAACAGACAAGCAGCAAAAAGAAAATGACTGCAATTACTTAACCAGCTGAGCATGCAAAGTACAGTGCTGCTGTGGACTGCCTTTTTATTTTAGTTTTCTCTCCTTATCTTATGTACGGAGGTCAGTTATTGCAATTTGGTTATTTATTTTTTTTGCTTAGGTAAGTTTGATAAATATTTCAGATCGTTTCTTTTTGTTTGTTGTTTTGGTATAAAGGCCACCATGAAGTTACACTCAGCTCCTTATTAGTGTTCCATCCTAAAGAAATAACATATTATTAAAAACATTTAAAAATCATTGTAAAATTGTACCAACTGTGTGATGTGGCTGCTTGAAGTCTGATTAGGATGGGTCACCTTTATGTTGTGGTCTGGCTGGATCACACCAGACATGTTAAATAAAAAAGAAACAAAAAAACTTAACTAGAACCTGTTTGACTAAATGAAATAGGCTATAAGTCCTTAAAATGAAATAATTCATACCTTGATCTCAAGAAACCCAAGAATAAATGTGAACAAATTCACTGAAAAGAGTGGAAAGAGTTAAAAAGGGATTTCTAAGGCTATGGGACTCCAGCAAATCACAGTTAAAGCCATTATCCACAAATAAAGAAAACTTGTCCTGACACTTAATAAGAGTGGCCAGCCCACTGAGAGCACATAGAACGAAGGTTTTGGAGTGGTATAGGATTGCCTTAGACTGCTCATACTAGAAAACCTTCCAATAAATTAAGTTCTGCAAAGAAAAGTGGGCAACAAATTCCTCCACAGTGTCGTACAAGTTCTTGCAGCCAAAGGTGGTGCAACCAGTTATTAGGTTTAGGGGGCAATTACTTTTTTACATAGGGCCATGCAGGTTTGTATAGCATTTTCTGCTTAATAAATTAAAGCATCATTTAAAAACTGCATGCTTTGGCTATTTCTATTTAAAATTAAAATGTGGTTGATCAAGTGAAATATGTAAGTATAACAAATATGCAAAAATGAAATTAAATAAAGTAAATAAAATAAAATAAGAAATCATGAAGGAGACACATAATTTTTCCCCAGCACTGAGTGCTTGGGCCCAATGTAAGTATTCATTAAATCATTAAAACAGCAAATCAATGCCTTTTGTACAGGGAAAACCAGTTAACAGTCAGCATCAGCTTCAGTGTGAGCATTCATGCTTAGTCTGTTTTGATGCATACGTTCTAGTATCCGATGTATGCTACTGAAGCTGGGCCTGTCTGATGGGTGTGTACTCCAACAGAGCCTCATCAGATTATAGAGCTCCAAAGGACAGTTCTCAGGACAGGAAAGGATGTGACCATCCCTCACATAGTAAATAACCTCCTCATGACCCATACCATAATATGGCTGCATCCCATGGGAGAAGATCTCCCATAACACCACACCATAGGCCCAGACATCTGACTCTGTAGTATAGCGATTGTAGAATATAGACTCTGGAGGCATCCAGCGAATGGGGATGGCATCATTTTCATTGGCTTTGTAGTAATCAGCTGAGTAGATGTTTCTGGAGAGGCCAAAGTCTGCAATCTTTACCACCATTTCCTCTCCAACCAGGCAGTTCCGTGTCGCCAGGTCACGATGGACAAACTTGCGCTCAGACAGGTATGCCATTCCTGCAGCAATCTGCTTGGAAATCAATAACTGCTCTGTACAAGAGAGAAGCCCAGCCTCCAGCTCAGAGGAGAAACTGCGACCCGACAAGCTAGCATGACTGAGGGTGCGCACTGACTGGGTTGGAGATCTGCGACGCAGGAACTCGTTGAGGTCACCATGGGCCATATACTCAAACATCAGACACATTGGTTTACCCACTGCACACACACCTGAGGAGAGAGCACACAGGAAACTATTTGATGGCCTATTATATAGATTAGCGCTTTTATTTTCCCACCACAGATGTTTTTAAAGAAGAAACACAAATATTTACCATAAACACATCAGTCCCATCACTGAAAACAATAAATTAACAGTTTTTCTTCTACAGTATCACATAATGAGTTCATTTACCTTAAAATGCCAAAAAAACAAAACAAAAAAAACTATTACCCAGACATAAACACAGATGGGCATGGGCATAAGTTCTTACATCTACTTTAGTGGATCTTTGATATAAATATGATATATTTATTTTTGGCAAATTAAGTTTCTACTTTTTTTGGACTTTTTTTCCTGAGCTGGGTTTGGGGAAATGATGGCAAACGAAGGCAGATTATTAAATTGAGAATGTAATGACTGAGGCTGCTCATGTTATAAATATCACTTGTGATTAATACAAGTTATTTGAAATGTTGTGTTTACATTTTTAACAGTAAGGGCTTCCACAGGCCTTGGATGTTTGATGAGGACAGCACAAACAGTGCTACAGTATCTTTAAAACGACATGGATTTATTTGTTAAATGCCAATTTATACTGAATATAGTGAGAACGCAACCTTTATTTGACAGAACTTCCATACTTATTGGATAAAAACTTAAACTGCAGGAGTGAGATGTCAACTTTAAAAAACAAAACAAAAATCAAGCATATGAATGAGGTCTTTGGTGAAACAGGATCTTGACAAAAGTGACAAAATTCATCCTACTTTATTTCCTCCTTATTTACTACAACTCTATAAAAGAGTGTCTGTCTGCTTGTTTGTTCTTCCATTCCTGTGAGTACTTGTTGCAGCTTGTGAGCACACACTGCCAAGACTAGCCCCCCGGTCTGCCATCCGTATGGTTCACAAAAAAGTTTCAGTTCTTTTGAGCACAAGTTAAAAAATATATTGCTAGATGAACAGAAATACACCACTTTCAAACAGTGCCTTCAGTTCACTCTTCTTTTCTTCTCACTTTAGTGCATGAATAGTGTAATTTATGCAGTTAGTGCATTGAAATGTACCAACTTATTATTGGCCACAGTTATAATTTTGATTGACTGCATTTACTATTGCTTCTGTTTTTCAATGAAAGAAACTGGAAGCTCAATGGCCCATTGGTCATTTTAAATCAGTTTAAACTTTGTTCAAACCCAGTAACATTTATTTCCCCTCCTTGTTGAGGTTCCAAAGCCACACAAATTATGAAATGTGTCATGCTGAATTCTGGGGAAATCAATGAAGGGCCTTATTTAGCTAGACGGAAAATCACTGCACAGTCAGCCCTTGGACTGCATTTGGCACTGCCCTCCAGGGATGTCCACTGCAAGTAAGGGAGCGCTCATATAGGTGCAGCTCAGTGCTGGAACACAGAGTTGGAACACTGTACTTCAGCGCACAGTTGGTCAGATGTAATCTTTTTTAAAATCTGATTGGATCAAAAAGGTTGAAATAGATTCAAAATTTTCAAAATTGTGGAATGAGACAACCTTATGTAATCCACTCTTTTATCATTACTATTATTATTTCTCTGTTATTTTGAGCACACAGTTATTTCAGGAATTTAGGATTGAGAAAACTTGGATCCAGTTTTATTTTATGTAGCATCATTTATGAAACATCCATTAATCACATCGTTCTAATTATAATGATACCATGAACTGAGACAATCCCAAGCACAGTTTCTCTTCCTTAGCAGATGAAAGTGCACTGAAGACATTTTCATCTGGTAAAGATAAAGAAAAAAATTGTTAAATGAAGAAATCTGAATCTTTTTTCTTTAATTGAGTGATGAACTTTTTTTATTTATACAAATAAAAAAAAATTAAAGTATTCACTCATTTGTTAGGATAATTGTACAGGCAGAAAAGTGGGACTGAATACCTGATCCTGGATCGTGAAATGTGAGATTTCTTAATCCAAATCCAAATTATTCTGATCTATATTAAACTTTCTGAACAACTGAAGCCAGAAGCTAAAGTATTTGTATTTAGTTGTAGTTCACTTTTTTTGCGATTGCAACATACTTCCAATGAACTTTAGGGGTGAGGAGGAGGTTGGAGGTCATGTTCACTTAATTCATATCCTGTGGGTCACTAGATAGAACAGCTCACCAGAGAACAATTATCGTGTGTGTGTGTTTGTGTGTGAAGGTGGCTGGGTGTATATGCTTCTGTGTACAGGGTGGGGGAAACAAGTTGTAATTTAGTGCCAGTGACCTTTGCTAAAGGACGGTAGCTGGATTAAAATGTTTCACTCATTGCTAAATATATAGAAGACAGAGGCCACACACGGCACAAGACACATGTAGACTTATGGTATATCTAATTCTGACGCATTCGTGTTTTGGATGATGCATATATTCCTGCACATGATTTACGGCTGTATTATTAGTCTAGAGGGTAATTAAAGGTTAAGGAAATAATCTAATCAACTCCAGTTTCATGCACACCAGAGTCTTTGCTGTTAGTGTGTCACTCTCCAGATGAGTCATCTAAAATGAATGCCACTCAGAAAATAACAAAAAATAGTGAGTGAGGGAGTGACTGAATGCTAATTTTGAAGAAATATATTGCACAACGACTGGAGCTGCAAAAGAAAACTTCTTTGAGCACAGCCAGTGATCAACAGCTCTGTTTACTCGCTGACCGCACCAACTATGCTGTGTCTCCAAATGTCTTCCTGGAAATATATTTGGATGTGAGCTGTTTGTATTAGATTAGATAAGCTGCATTAGTGAAGATACGGAATTTTAATAGAGCACATTTGTTTTATATTGGCCAACAAAGGCACATTAGTTGTCAGTCAGCACTTGTTTACTGGCAAACAGCACTATGTGGATTATTCTTGGACTTTGATAGGTCCACAGCGGGAAACAAACAAAAAAAAGCATCTGAAGAGAGTGAATTCTTTCAGAAAAATTGCTGTTTGGAAAATCAGACTCAGGGAAATACTAAGAGGCAATCCTTTCTTTTTTATTTTATTATTTAGTTCGTCTTAATGAAAGCTCTACAGTTTTTAGAAAGTTTATTGTTAAATTGTTGCTTAACATAAGCAGGTGAAAGCTAACAACTGAATAGAAATATTATTTTAAATGACCCAAAAGACTCTTCTATGAGTTGAAAAGCATTCTTTTCAAAAGCTCTTTGTTTGGTCTGGCTTCTTTTAAATAACAGATTTATTTTAGATACCTAAATGCACTTTCAGGCCATAAAACTCTGAAACCAAATAATAAATGTTGATTTCTATCAGTTTTTACATGTCCAATTCTGTCTTTTCAATCTTGTTTGAGTTTTTTTCTTCTTCCTCCATTTCCATGTTTCTGTTTTTCCACTTTACTTTACTTCTCCCTGAAGTAAACTCAGGGATTCGGCAATTATTCAATGTAAGCTCCATCTGTGACCGTTGTCTCTTTGGAAATCAGATTTTTCGTTGCACACTTTTTCTCTCTCGTTTGCACACAAGCACACACTAACCTAAGAGTCGAACTATGTTTGGATGGTCAAATGCGGCCATGAGTGCTGCCTCTCTCTGGAAGTCATTCTGCATGTCAGCTGAAGCTTCCTCCTTCAACATCTTCACAGCAACCATTGTGAAAGACTCCATGGGTAGCAGGCCTGGAGCTCTGAAACAGACACAAACAAAGATATTCTTGAACTGAGCACGAAAATATTATATTATCAGTATTTGTATTGTATTGTTAATGTTTTTGTCACTAATGCATAAACCAGACTTTTGTTACCATATGTTTCAAATGTGTATTTTAGCTTTACCCAAAAGTGTCTAAGTAAACAACACAGCTATTTAAGCGTTAGAAATATGAATGAAACACATATATGAACACATATTTATGCTAATAGGTCTACAGAGAAATACTTCCTCTGTTGGCTCAGGCGCAAAATGATGTTTCCTAAAGTAGATATAGCTGGGACAATAATCTTGATAAAAACAATGATATCACACACATACTGTAGAGTCACACAAAAAACAGACTGAAGTGCTGATGTCAGAGAAGAAGTTATTTTTTTCCTCAGGTCTATTTAAGTAACTATCTTTCACGTGTGTGTGTGTGTGTGTGTGTGTGTGTGTGTGTGTGTGTGTGTGTGTGTGTG